TTAAGGTGTGTTCTATGGCCCAGAATGTGGTCTATGCTGGTGAATGTTCCATGTGAGCTTGAGAAAAATGTGTATCCAGCTGTTGATGAAGTAGTCTATAGATGTCCATTGTACCCAGTCGACTGATGGATTTGTGGTTCGGTGTCTGACATTAATTTGGGAAAAATTTTCAGTCATTATTGTCTTAAATATTTCTACTATTCCTTTCTCACTTTTTCCAGAATTTCCATCATGCGTACGTTACACCTTTTATCATTGTCCCACAGTCATTGCATATTCTGTTCTGTTTCTCAGTCTTTGTGTTCTCTTTGCTTTTCACTTTGGGAAGTTTCTATTGATAGATCCTCAAGCTCAGAGATTCTTTCCTCTGCCATGTGCAGTCCACTGATAAACCTGTAGGCGTTCTTCATTTCTGTTACAGTGCTTTTCTCCCTAGCAATTCTTTTTGGTTCTTTTGTAGGATTTCCATCTCTATGCTTACTTTTCCCATCTGTTCTTGCATGCTGTCTACTTTATCCATTAGAGCCCTTACATATTAATCATAGTTGTTTTAAATTCCCAGTCCGTTAATTCCAGTATCCCTGCCAGGTCTGGTTTCTGGTTGCTCTTTTTCTCCAAAGTGTGTTTTTCGCTTTTTAGTATGCCTCATACTTGTTACTTCGTGGCCAAACGGGTAAAAGGAACTGCTATAAACAGGCCTTTAGTAATGTGCTGATGAGGTGTGGGGGAGGGGAAGTGATCTGTAGTAGGGCCATGGCTGGTTTTCTGTTTTTTGGGTTTTTTTAAAGATTTTATTTATTTATTTATTTATTTATTTATTTATTTATTTATTTATTTATTTATTTATTTATTTATTTGACAGAGAGAGGGAACGCAAGCAGGGGGAGCAGGAGGGGGAGAAACAGGCTTCCCTCTGAGCAGGGAGCCCGATGTAGGGCTCCGTCCCAGGACTCTGGGATCATGACCTGAGCCGAAGGCAGACGCTTAATGACTGAGCCACCCAGGCGCCCCCAGGGCTGTCTTTTAGTGCACCTGTGCCCCTGGACTGTGAACCTCACATTGCTTCTCAGTTCCCCGACTCTAACTCCCCCCACCACACACTCACACATCCCTAGGTGGGACAGGATGGCTAGACTGGGATTGAGTTGGGTATTTCCCTTCCTCCAGGTCAGGTAGGCTCTGGTTAAGTAGTTTCTCCTGAGGGCAGGCCTCCCGAAGAACAGAGTGCTCTGGTGTATTTCAAAATGGTCCCTCCCCTCCTCCTCCCACCACCTGCTAGAAGCATGAGAGGATTTACTCACAGAAGTGTGGGGGCTGTTGATGACTGGGTCCCCCTGGAGTTGTTAACTCTCAGAGTCGTCCACACTGAGCCTCCAGCAATTTGCCAGTTAGAGTTCAGGTTTCCCTCCCCGGGTTGGGTTCCCAGTAAGTGTGGCTCTCTGTATTTCTTTGTTGGTCTCTCCAATTTGGGGAGCAGTGGTTGGCTCTGTGACCTCACTTCTCTTATGGATCTCTAAGAAGAGTTGTTGCTCTTTTTTTTGTTTTGTTTTTTGGGTTTTTTAAAGATTATTTATTTATTTATTTGACAGAGAGACACAGAGAGAGAGGGACCACAAGCAGGGGGAGTGGGAGAGGGAGAAGCAGGCCTCCCGCTGAGCGGGGAGCCCGATGCAGGGCTCGATCCCAGGACCCTGAGATCATGACCTGAGCCAAAGGCAGACGCCCAACGACTGAGCCACCCAGGCGCCCCTCTTTTTTTTTTTTTTAAGATTATTTATTTATTTGAGAGAGTCAGCACAAGCAGGGGGAGTGGCAGGCAGAGGCAGAGGGAGAAGCAGGCTCCCCACTGAGCAGGGAGCCCAATGTGGGGCTCAATCCCAGGACCCCGGGATCATGACCTGAGCTAAAGGCAGACGCTTAACCCACTGAGCCACCCAGGCACCCCAAGAGTTGTTGCTTTTTCTGTGTGTCCAGTTCTGGTATAGCCTCCTTTTACTTCAGGTGATCACCAGGTCCCAACTTCAGGGGGCTCTCCCAGCAGTGAATTAGGAACAATTCGGACCTCCTTACCAAGACATTAAAGCTCCTTTTCAGCCATGGCCCTGGTCCAATACCCTCAAGGTCCACTCCTACTCCTATTTCCCTGGTAAATGCCAAGCCAGGTCTTGCAATCATTTCTATAAGTAATCTATTCCTTCCCACAGCAGAGACTGCAATTCCCAGCTCAGGCCGGGCTGTAACAGGATAGTCATTGGTCTGGAAACAATGAGAGAAGGGGGGGCAGAGGTTGGCAAATATCATCTCTTGAGGCATGGGCCTCATGTACGGTCTCTCCATGGAAAGTAGTCTGGGGTTTCTCAGGAAATGGGGTTCTCTTTCAGCGAGGGGATGGGGGCTTCTGCCTGCTCAAAGCATTCAGGGGAATATCAGGGACGAAGATCCCATTTTTATCCCAGCTCCGAGTCCTTTTCCTTCCTGACAAAAGCGCTGACTTTGGCAAGGGAAACCAGCCCAGGAGGCAGCTTATCTCCTTTGGGGCTCTGCCATTCTTGCACAAGCAAATCCTAGGAGTGTCAGCACATTCTACCCAGTAGCTGCAGATCCATCTCTTTAAGCTGTACCATGAAGGCCCTCTGACTTTTATAACACACCACAAGGTGACACTTGGCCGATGAGCCTTTCATTTATTTTTCAAAGGCCTTTCATCATTAATAGAAGCCAGTTAACTAAACAACTCTTATAATTACCGCTGACTCCAGGTGTCCTTGTGGTTGAGCTTTCACAAGACCCAACACTTCCTCTCCTAGACCTCATCCCAACCCACCGCAGGCAAGTCTTGGTAATGATGACATGAAAGGATGGCCTAGCTTGTCGCCGGCCCACTTGCCACCACCCACAGGGTCTTCGCAGCCATCGGCCAATGACTGCTCCTGTTTTCAAGACCCATTTGAAGGGCCTGCTCTTTAAGGCCACTTCTAGTACCAAATGCTTAGTCGGAGTCACTCCCCAAGTCAAACCCTGAGACAAGGACTCATGTTTGGTAGTTTATCTGGGCAGTAGTCCCACAGGGAACAGGAAGGAAGGACTGGGAAGGGTAAACCAGGAAGGAGAGGATTGACCACAGTCATGGGCACCACCAGCATGGTGTGTTGAATGCACCGAACACCTCTCAGAACTGTCCACCCAAGGATCAGATGGAGCAGCCTTTCCCTACTGGTTGCTGCCCCCCGGTGGTCGTGGGTTGCCTCGGGAGGCGCTAAGTCCCCAGCACTTTGGGGCTGTGCATACTTCCAGGTTGAGTCTTAAACTGATTTATTTGCAGACTTGGACGGACATGATTTGGGAGACCAAGAAATCACAGAAACAACAGAACCAACTTGAAAGTTCTGTACATTGCATTCCCTGATGTTTGTTTAATGGCCACTAAGAACAGCTCTGCTTCTGCTGGATGAAGCATGGGTCTCTCCAGGACAGTTATTTTTCCAAGTCTCCACCATCAGTTTTCTCTTCCCTTATTCTGACAGCTGCAATCATCACACATTTCCCGTAAGTGCCTCTCCTGGACAGACCTTGCTCATTGGGGGTTCCATTTCACGTGTGATGTTCGCGCCTGACAGGTAGGGGCGGCCTGGGAAAGGCAGAGAGAGATGCTAATTGATTTCTCGCCTCCGTTCTCCCTGGTAACTGCTCAGCTGGTCAGCCCCGTTGGGTGGCGGTCATGCACGAGCCTGGCAAAGGTGCATCTGTCTGATGTCTTGAATCATCAGGACTGAAGTTTCTAAACTTGACTAAACTCCAGCTGCATCTTGACCACTGTCATGTCCCATCACGGGCAGTCAGCCAGGAGCAAGGTGGGTGGGGGGGGTGGGGTGGATACCAGGCTCATTGCTGCCTTGTCGGGAGCACTGTCATGGTGCCTGGAGGGATAACCGCTGGGAAAACATTTTTTAAAAATGAAAACCCAGGTTGTGTTCTCAAGAGGGAAGCAGCTCCAAGTCCAAGTCGAAGCAGCTGTTTGTCTCCATGGGGCTGGACCTGGCCATGCCAGCAGAAGGTGACCGTGCCAGGACCTCTGGAACCAGGCTTCAACTCACATTATGTTCCTTCCATTAGGCAATACAATCCTAACTCCTCACCCAATTTGTCTAACTGAAATGCACAGAGCAAATGCCCTGGCTGAGATACTCACCCTTCCCCGGGGCTCTTTAAGATTGATTGGGGAGTTTCAGTTTGGAAGAAACTAAAGATTGCTCAACCTGTGAAGAGACTAAATTCCACGCGCTGTGAGTAGAATACAGGCTTATGAGGAGCCTTCTGGGGCCATCGAGAATGGCCTTCCCTTCTGTCCCCTGAGTATGATGGCAGGCTGAGTAATCAAATGACAACATCTCTAAAGCAGCCTTCTTCATGCTGATAAAACAAGGAAATCTTATGAAACACCAGGGAGGGGTTATAAAATCCAGAGCACTTTCGAAACAAGAGTGGTAAGAATGCTTGGCTAAGGACCAAAGTGGCCACTAAGCCCCGGACCCTAGGGAGCTCGGCCTGGATTTCTTGGAGGGCAGAAAGCAAGAACTGGGCCTCCCCAGGACTCAGGAAGGTTCACCAGCCAGGTGGAAGCCATGGGTGTGTACCTGGGGCATGTGCCTCCTTTCTCCTCCCCTAGAAGCAAATCCACAAGGAGAATGAATTCCGTGTATGTGTGTTTCTTTCTTTGAAAGCTCTACAGGGAGAGCATTTTTCACAAAATACATATGAGCATTTCCTTTAAACCATATTTCTGGTAAATCCTTATTCTAGTGTTTTTGTTGTTGTTTTGAATCCCTGCAGCAGGAGATAAACAAGTCTCCCTGGAGAGGCACGACCAGAGAATTCTCCCTCGGAGCAGATCTCTGGATCTGGTTGCCATTCGCTAGACCAGAGCCAGACTTTATGGCGTGGGGGGGGTGCCACCAAATGGCATCTTGGATTACTGCTGAAGAACTCTAACCGTACCAAACCAGACTAGAAAATATACTTTAATTTTACATGTACAAATGTTGCCTCAAATTTATAACAGATAAGAAAAATATATACAAACTGCAGCTTAAAAGGAAAAGCAAAAAAGCCAAACACCCCGCATTTGCGTTGATGTGCAAATCATCCCAGGAAGCCGACTTTCTGTCTCTTGGGCCCCAGGCTTTCCTCCTTGTGTAGGACGCTCTGCAGGGAGGCGTGCAGCACCTTGCCCACTCGCTTGCCGGTCTGCAGGACAGAAGAAAGCACACACCTGCTTGTGAGGCGCACACACTCGGACCAGGGACGCCTCCCTCCCTGCCTGCTAGCCATTCCGAACTGCACACTTCCCTCTGCCTTACGGGGCTTTTACTTAGTGAAACAAATCAATATGAAAACAAACCCCCAACCACAACAACAGAGCAGTTACCCTCTGGAAAAATCTCCATACTAAGAACAAAAACAAAGAACCCCCCACCCCCCCACCCGCGCCAACCCCCAGGCAGCCAGCAGGAAGCGGGAAGGCAACCTCGGCCATTAGCCTCACGCTTAGCACTCCCGCTGCCATGACAACAAGCAGCAAAACTGTCAACCAAGCCTGCTCCCGGTGACTGCCAAGTCCCACTGTACTGTGGTGAGGATGCAGAGGGAGGCCACAGGGAATCGGAGTCTGGCTAATGAAGGAACAGATGGTTCTGGGGACACGTCTGAACAAGCAGTTTCTCTTTCACCTGCCACCAAATCTCTCCGCAGAGCGGCTCAGATGGGCCCGAGCTGAGCCCTGCACGGGGTCTTGGCCGTTGCTGCCACGCAGAGCAGAGATGCTAAAGGCAGGGAACGCTGGAAGGAGACGCATCAGGAGGTCACACAACCCACTGAGTTCCTAATTAGCCCCTACACAGAAGCCACACGGGGACCCCTCAGAAAACCTCTATGAAGATATACAAAAATCTCTATGAAACTGTGATTGTGTCTGAGCTCACGCATCATTTTAAGACTCTGAGGAACCCACCACCAGCCTCCCCCCTCATCGAGTCGGCCGTGTTCCCAGAGCAGTTTTTTTTTTTTTTTCAAGATTTTATTTATTTATTTGACAGAGACAGACACAGTGAGAGAGGGAACACAAGCAGTGGGAGTGAGAGAGGAAGAAGCAGGCTTCCTGTGGAGCATGGAGCCCGATGTGGGGCTCGATCCCAGGACCCTGAGATCATGACCTGAGCCGAAGGCAGACGCTTAACGACTGAGCCACCCAGGCGCCCCTCCCAGAGCAGTTTTAACCCCACCGTGCCACGGTACCACTCTCAGCAACGACAGGGAGCCAGACGCCTGGGCCTAGACCCCCAGCCCAATCCTCCCAGTTCCAGGGACCTTCTGCCCTGGCCTCTCACTGTAACACAGGATGGGACTCTAAGGATTACTGGAAACTTATACGAAAAGATCTCAGTCTAAAAGTGGGAAGTGATCAACTGTATGAAATGCAAAGCCAGGGCTCAGGTCCAAAGCGACTGTGGAAAGATCTTTACCAAAACATGAGAGAAAGAGAAAATGTCGGTCGATCAGACAGGGGTACTGACTGTCCACATAAATGAAAGCGGGGAGTGAGGATAAGCGGGGAGGGGACAGGCAGGACACCGGGACTTGGGGGGTTGGAATGTGAATGGCAGAGGTTGGGGCGGCGGCCTGTACAGCTACCTGGATGTTGTATATGTCACGGCAGGCACTTCCGGATGGCTGCATCCCTGGGTGAGACCAGAGCAGTGAGATGGGGCCTCGGGCCACAGTACCCCCCCCCAGCAGGGTCTGCAGACCGCATTCGCCGCACCCCAGAGGAGGACGCAGGGTGGCTCACCAGCCGGAGCTCTGGCAGCCACAGCACATCTGCGTATAAGGTGAAAAGAGCCCAGTGTGGCTGCAGGGGGCGGCAGGAAGGCTCTGGAAGCACACTGTCTGGGTCTGAATCCTAGTGCCAGCATTTATGAGCTGGGAAGCCCGTAGGCGAGTGACTCTATCTACTACACGTCTCCATTTCCACGACTATAAAACGAAGGACAACAGTAGCTGCCTCACAGGATGGCCGAGGACTAAAGGACATAATACATTTAAAGCACTAAGAAACAGGGTGCCGGACACACAGTAAGCGCACAATAAATTTTCACTATTACTTATTACTTTTGTTGTTTTACATACTGGAATTCTCATAAAATTCTCCAGGGGGTGGAAAAAGAGTTCCTTCTAAGACAAGCCAGTTGTCTAGAGAGGCCGCTGGCAGCACTTATAAAGTATTGCAAGTGTTTTGTTTAAATAAAAAAAACTAGAAACGAGCCAATTAACCAACCGGCCATGAAGAATACCTGCTGCCACGCAGGGCTAGACACCTGAGCTCAGGGCGCCGAAGAGAGCGCGCAGAGAAGGGCTGACATCTACTGAGCACTCGGGGTAGGCCCCCACTGTGCCTCTACCTTTACTCACTCCCTTCAAAGGACAGGAAGCGGTCAGGCAGGAACCCAGTTCCCTCACCAAATGGCAAAAGCCTGGGATTTTGGAGTTACAAGCGACTCCACGTAATCAGTCCAACACTTTCATCCAGAGATATGGAAATGTGGGATCAGAGAGGGAGAGGATGAGGAACAGTGACTGACAGGGTCCTTACCTCCCAGGCCAGAGCCCCTATAGCCTCCACCCTTGGCTAGGTCAGCAGACAACCAGCTCACACTCTGGGGTCAAAGGTGCAAAGGGAGAATTCCCATGGCGGGACCGAGAGGGCAAGAGGCAGCAAACGCTCCCTGTCAGGTGCCTGCACCTGCCTCACGCTGGAGCCTCACCTCCATCATCTCAAAGATGCTCTCTGGGTCCAGGCTGCCCTTCCCCACTTTCCTCATGCACGTCATGACTCCCGTGCTGGTCACGGACACCAGCAAGCTGGCCAAGGAGCAGGCCTCCTCCTGAAGAGTAGCATCCACGACATGCCGATAGCCAATCTGCAAAGTCAGGGCAGCAGAGTTCACGTGAGGGTAACACACATCCCAGATCCCCACCCTTGATAGCCTCGTGGAGGAAGAATCTACACCAGCGAAGAACCCACACTCCCCATTCAAGATCTTATTTTAGATTCTGCTCACATGGAAAACACCAAAAGCAATGTTCAACAATTCTATCACAGGCCACTATGGAAGCAGAATTATAAAAGCACAAGAAGAAATACGGGGGTGGGGTGGGGCTAGAGCCATAATTGAGAGACCCTCCAAGTCAGGCCACCAAGAGTCTCCAACAGAGGGGCGCGGGGAGAAACTGACACGTGAAGCCACGTGGATGTTTCACTGATGACAAAGATGAATCAAAAGGGTGCAAGCGAAGAGACACGCTCAAGAATGAGTCAAGTGCAGGTGGCTTTGGTCAGTCCCAATGCTTCACCATACCCCAGGCTTGTGAAGTGATTTCAGGGGAATTAAACCTGACCCACTCGGTCCTATTTCTATATGAATCCTGTGTGGACTCAGGGACAGGCCTTGGTGCACAGCCTTGGGCAGTGCCAGGGACATGACAGCACCGACCAGAGGTGACGCTCCACAGGCCTCTGTGCTCGTGTAAAAACCACACTTAACATAACAGATCCCCAGATCCTGCTCTAACCCCTCATTTCATAGACGTGCACACAGGGTGTTTGAGTGAGACGCCTGGTACGGAGGAGCTTAACAAACTCGAGCTACTATTACCACGAACCCACGTGTGCATTCCTGGGACTGCATTGTATCTTCCAATAAAAAAAAAAAAAAAAAAGGAGCTGCTCACATACTGGTTTCTAATATAAACCAAATTACTGGATTTGGATTAACACTACTTGCACGTGGTTTGTGCAACTGTAACTTCTCAACCTATTAAGTAATCTTAATGGACTGGGGCTGAAGGGGGCCCACGGCAAATTCAAAAACCATCAGATAAAAGCACATACCTTGCACAGGGTGACAATGCAGGGGACGTTCTCCACACTCAGCCGGATGCAGTCATAAGGGTCATCTGAGAGTTCAATGTCCTTGGACCCCTCTTCATCCTCTAGAACACGAACTCTTGGTATCCTAGAAGCAAAAGCACAGTGAAAATTCCCACTTGCTGTGAGGAAGAAAGAGAAATTCTTTTCCTTGAGACTGAGAATACGAGTCAGAATTCCTGTGTCTCACAAGATAAAGTCACACTCCACCTGTACTTTATCATCCTCATCCCTACCATCTGTCAAAAGTACACCAGCAACACTGCAGAGCAGTGAAGTAAGGAGGTCTCTTTAAAAATGATGCTTGGTCAGTCATTAGGTGTCTGCCTTCAGCTTGGATCACGATCCTGGGGTCCTGGGATCGAGCCCCGCATCGGGCGCCCTGCTCCGCGGGCAGCCTGCTTCTCCCTCTCCCGCTCCCCCTGCTTGTGTTCCCTCTCTCGCTGTGTCCCTCTCTGTCAAATAAATAAATAAAATCTTCAAAAAAAAAAAAATAAATAAAAATGATGCTTGGTCAATCAGATATGCACATGGGGAAAAAAAAGAATCTTGATCTCTACCTCATACCATATACAAAAATCCATACCAAATGGACTACAGAGATAGAGGGGAAAGATAAAACAATAAAGCTTTTATTTCTTTAATATAAAGATTTTATTTATTTATTTGAGAGAGAGAGAGAGCACGAGCAGGGTGAGGGGCAGAGGGAGAAGCAGACTTCCCACTGAGCAGGGAGCCCGATGTGGGGCTCAGTCCAGGGACTCTGGGATCATGACCTGAACTGAAGGCAGATGCTTAACCAGATGAGCCATCCAGGCATCCAATAAAGCTTTTAGAAGAAAAACTAAGGGACGCCTGGGTGGCTCAGCCTTTTTATCCAAGATATTCTGATTTTGGAAAATTATGTGTGCCTATGGAATACACTATAATAAACTAATACCATATATTTGGATAATTCTCTAAAGTTTACTGGGATACTTTCACGTTTATTATTTCATTGGAAAAAAAAAAAGCAATGAAATAGAGTTGAACATTTTAATTGCCTGTTACTCAGTATGTTCCCCAAAAGTCAAAAAAGACAAATGAAACTATGGCCAATGTTGTACTCATTTCCCCACCCTTCGAGTCTAACGCACTATCTGACACAGGGAGGGACTCATTTATTGAACGAGATTTAATTACTCGTTCACGGTCAAAGCACTGATGACCACTGGAGCGAAGACTGGACGCAGGCCTTCCGGCCCCCACAGCAGCACTAGCTTCGCATCACTGCTAGCGTAACCGCACCTGCCTACACGAGGGCAGAGAAACTAGAAAACCAGACAAGAATGTACGTGTGTTGGGCGCCTGGGTGGCTCAGTCGGTTGGGCGACTGCCTTCGGCTCGGGTCGGGATCCTGGAGTCCCGGGATCGAGTCCCGCATTGGGCTCCCTGCTCAGTGGGGAGTCTGCTTCTCCCTCTGACCCTCCCCCCTCTCATGTGCTCTCTCTCATTCTCTCTCTCTCAAATAAATAAATAAAATCTTTAAAATAAAATAAAATAAAATAAAAAACAAATCTTGGGCGCCTGGGTGGCTCAGTCGGTTAAGCGACTGCCTTCGGCTCAGGTCACAATCCTGGAGTCCCGGGATCGAGTCCCGCATCAGGCTCCCCACTCAGTGCGGAGTCTGCTTCTCCCTCTGACCCTCCCCCCTCTCATGCTCTCTCTCATTCTCTCTCTCAAATAAATAAATAAAATCTTAAAAAAAAAAAAAAAAAGAATGTACGTGTGTTTGTATTTTCTCTGAAACCACCAAGCTTTCCACTTTCGACACGTTGGCAGGTAAACAGATGACAAAGATAAAGCATGGGAAGCCAAAGAAGGCAAGTGCTGAGAAGTCCCTGCCCACGAATATTGTCAAGGCGTCCATCTGCTCCATATTTAGATACACATTTGTCAAAATTAACATATTTAGACCCATGTTAAGTGAAGAACATGATCTGAATGGCATTAGAAAGTGCTGCTGAAGGCTGATGAGAAAGCCTGAGGGCAAAGAGAACATTAAGAGCTAAGGTTTCTTTACTCTGGAAAGAGCTATTTAAGCTAGTAGAGAAGCTCCCAAAGGGGGCACGTCTCCAGTGTGGTCTAAAGGGATAAACCTGACCTGTGTAATATCACTGGCCAGGGCCTCAGAACACAAGCTACACTTACTGTTTTTCATCTTGATTAAATGGATATTAGAAATGAAATGATCTGGGGCACCTGGGTGGCTCAGTCGTTAGGTGTCTGCCTTTGGCTCAGGTCATGATCCCAGGGTCCTGGGATCGAGCCCCGCATCGGGCTCCCTGCTCGGCGGGAGGCCTGCTTCTCCCTCTCCCACTCCCCCTGCTTGTGTTCCCTCTCTCGCTGTGTCTCTCTCTGTCAAATAAATAAAAATAAAATCTTTAAAAAATAAATAAATAAATAAGAAATGAAATGATCTTCCCATGTCAGGCTGATGTTCTATACTTTCAGAAGAGCATAATCACCACTAGGCAGAACAAAACATTTTCCTCTGTACGATGTTTCAAAAAAATATTTTTTAAAAAGATTTTATTTATTTATTTGACAGAGAGAGAGACAGCGAGAGAGGGAACACAAGCAGGGGGAGTGGAAGGGGAGAAGCAGGCTTCCCGCTGAGCAGGGAGCCCGACGCGGGGCTCGATCCCAGGACCCTGGGATCATGACCTGAGCCGAAGGCAGACGCTTAATGACTGAGCCACCCAGGCCCCGAATGTTTCAAAATTTTAAAAGAATCTATGAACTTCTGTTTGTCAAAAGACATCATTTAGGGGCTCAAGTAGCCAATAAACACACAAAAAGGTATTCAACTTAAATATTCATCAAGGAAATGCAAATTAAAACTACAATATGATACCAAGACACATGCCAGAACAGCAGATAGTAAAAAAAACAATGAATTGGCAAAGGTGTGAAGCAACCCAGAACGCTTACACAATGCTGGCGAGAATATCAACTAGTAAAAGCACTTTAGAAAACTGTTTTGCAGTATCTACTAAAACCAAACATAGTCCTGCCTTAGATGATCCAAAATTTTCACCTGTACCCAACAGAAGTGGGTAAATACGTGCAAGAAAAAGACAAAAATGTTCATGTTTGGAATAGCCCAAACCTGGAAACTACCCCGATGCTCATCAACAGTAGAATGTATAAATAAACTGTGACAAGTCACACAAGGGGCCACCACGCAGCATAGAGCAAACAATGACTACAGGCCACAATACAGATGTCTCGAAACATAATGCTCAGTGAATGAAGCAGACACAAAAGAGAACACACTGTGTGATTTCATTTCTATCAAGTACAAAACCGGTCTACTGTGGCTGAAGTGATCGCATGGGGTAGAGGGTGAGAGGGCTTCTGGGGACGGCTGGCAACATTCTGTTTCTTGAGCTGGGTGTCGGAAACACATTTAATCCATAGAGTCCATCCATCCCCATGTGGGGTGGAGGAGCCAGGAAGGAAGAGGTGGTCCATTCAGCTACGTAATGGAAACAGATTTGGTGCTTTGCCTTGTTCCTCTAACAAAAGCCCTCTATGATTCCATCCCTGCTGGCTGTCCCTACACAAGGCCACATCCACAGCAGATGAGCTGCAGCTGGGGAATGTCTGCAGGAACCAAGGTGTCCTGCTCGGGTCTGCCCTGGCTCAAAGTCTCCACGTCAGGGGCACCCAAGGTGTAAGTACTTTTTTCTCCCCAAGTGTAAGTATTAAGTAACATCGATTTGAGCCAGTCAGGTAACCAGTTTGAATTTTTATTGGTATGTTAAAAAATAAGCCTGTGCAAACACACACACACACACATTTATCTTCCTGAAACTCTGGCCACAACCTGGTTCAGCTGAAGGGCTAGAGAACGGCCTCTTTCCTTCTAAAGGACACAGACTCCACAAAAGGTCTTTCCAGGGTGCCTGGGTGGCTTAGTAGGTTGGGCGTCTGCCTTCGGCTCGGGTAATAATCTTAGGGTCCTGGGATCAAGTCCCGCATGGGGCTCCCTGCTCAGCCGGGAGCCTGCTTCTCCTTCTGCCTGCCGCTCCCCCTGCTTGGTGCTCTCTCACTCTCTCTAATAAATAGATAAAATCTTTAAAAAAAAAAAAAAAAAAAAAAAGAGGTCTTTCCATGTACCAGAGGGGCCTGATGCCTCACATAGTCCACATTCCTTGCTACCTGTAGGGCTGTTCTTGTTCTGGGGACGAGACTCATGGCTATGCCCACGACAGATGTCCTCCCCAACCTGAGCAGCTGGGTTTCACCAAGCTGATGTACAGTTTGCCCAACACTTCCCCCATAGCCAAACAGCCTTGTCTGGTTCTACTCTCTCTTTTTGCCCTGGTGCCCATGGAAACCAGCTGGCAGATGGGCAGTTATTTCTGAAGCTCAAGGTACCACAGATGGCGACATCCTTTCTTCTCCAAGAGAGCCCCAGCACAGGCTGCTGCAACGGCGTTGGTCCTTGGGCCCCACCGTGGCCACCAGTCCCGGGCCGACCTATTGACTGATCTCAGCCAGGAGTCCAATGGCACAGCTCGGGCTGGGGCACGCTACAGCTTTCATTCTCAGCAAATCTTCTATCCTGCAATGTCTGACTGAAACTTATTTAACTTTCTGTTTTCTTCTGAATTACACAGGTAGTCTAAATTCACCATAGAAAACCTCTAACATACAAACGTTAAGTAGCCAATAAGAGGAGCACTGGAAAATAATCACAAAGCCCCTTTTGGGATATACCTACCTACCTACCTATCTATCTACCTACCTATCTACCTACCTACCTACCTACCTACCTACCTACCTACCTACCTCCAGACATATTCACAATACAAGAGTTACCAAAAGTAAAATACAACAAAACAAACGAGATGAGAGGACTGTGTGTAGTGCCTGGTTTTCTGTATTAACAAACCTCTAAATAGGCTGCTGTGCAGACTGCAAGCCCCTGTGTTGGGACACTCAGGTTGTTCCCAATGTCCCACCATTACAAAGAAGCCGTGACGAACATCCTAGAATAATACCCTTGCTCATTTATCCAATGAATTCCTTAGCCTATATCCCTAGAAGTCTCTAACCCTCATGTTCTATACCCCAGGATCCCCCATTCCCTTAATGTAAGTTCTCATGGCATGAACATCCCCACCCACATGCTTATTTTCAAATGTTGCAAACTCTCCCGCAAGAACCTGGTACATGGAAGGGGGGAAGGCTGTGTGATCAGTCAGAGGGAATACCAGCTCCAAGAGGGCTTGGTGCTGTGTCCCTTGCTACACAGCTGGCTGGGAAGCTGAACCACAGTGGAAGAACCATTTCCCGTCCTTGAACCCAAGAGCAGGCTGCCACCCTGCTTTTAGAACATTCCTGTGTCCAATCAAGGAATATGTGAGCACCTACTATGTGCCAGGCATTGCTCACAGTGCTGGGGATAGAGCAGAGTACACGACAGGCCAAACCCATGCTCCTGAGCAGCTGTATCCAGTTACAATATTTGGACAGTTGACCTGTGGTTGCTTTCCACTCTTTTTGCTCCTCTGTGGTTTTCTGGTATTTTTCTACATGGGACGTGGTTACTTATGAAAACAACAACATAAAGAACAAATACAGAAATATATGCATATATAGAGTTTCACCTTGTGAAATCTGGAGCTTACCATGAAGTGCCACCGTGTTTAATGCTAAAGCCCCTTGTCACCCTCCCCTGTCAGCTTTGGTAGAAATGTCCCCAGTGTCCCATCACAAGTGTCTGCTCGGACTCTGCGCAGGCCCCGGGGCTGTTTCCAGGAAGACTCACCTGGTGTTGAAGAGAGCAGCTTTCACAGCAATGCAGATGGTGTCAAACAAATTCCCACCGCATTCCAGCAGCTAAGGGAGAGGCAGGGAGCGAGGCGGGGAGGAAAAGCAACCGTCATTTCTTGCTCCAAGTACCAACCCAGTTAAAGGACACTGGTTCCCATGAAATGCTATTTACAAGATAAAGAGAAGAACGTGTGGATGCTCTCCTGGCTGACACTGGTGCGTTCACCCTCATTGCAAGAGGCACCTTGGAGGCTGTGCTGGCCTGGGCCCCGCAGGTGAGGTCACCGCTGGCCCTGGCTGTGGGGCTACCACTCAGCCTCTGGCTTGTGGTGGGTCTCCTCTACCTGGCCCCCCAGCCAGTTGGGTCTGCACTCAGGGAGGACATGATCACCTTTATTTCGTCCCAGCAGTTCCCGAGCGTGACTCTCCTGTGTGCTGACATAAACCCGGCCTCCACACAGGTAAATCACAGTGGTCACCGACGCTGCAGCCGCCACCAGGTTCATGGTTATTAGCGTGGTGACCTCCTGTATGTAATCCCCAACATACAGCTGCTGCTCAGACATGGAACAGACGCTCCGCGCTGCGCATTCAGTGCCATAAAAACAAAATTCTTGCCCAAGAGCAAAAGCATTGACTGCGCTTAAGTGTGCTCATTCAGCCGGGAAGGTCAGAGCACAGGATTAAGTGGATGGTGACACATCCTTCTGTCCTCATTTCAGTGATGCCCTCCTGGCCTGTGTTACCACCCGGCTTTGTAATTGCAGCTCACTGGCCTAGCGAGGACTAGCTCTCCTCCATGTGCTTCAGACCCAGACTGCCGCCCAGCAAAGAGCTCCAGCTGGACTCGACTCAGACCGTCTGCGAGGACTCCTATCTTCACCAGTCAGCTGGGGGCTACTTTCCAGGGCGCCTGAGTGGCTCAGTAAGTTGGGCATCTGCCTTCGGCTCAGGTAATGATCTCAGGGTCCTGGGATCAAGTCCCGCACGGGGCACCCTGCTCAGCCGGGAGCCTGCTTCTCCTTCTGCCTGCCGCTCCCCCTGCTTGGTGCTCTCTCACTCTCTCTAATAAATAGATAAAATCTTAAAAAAAAAAAAGAGTTGCTAGACGTCCCACACCTCCTGTTCTCTCCCAGCTTGTCTGGACCTGTTCGCATACCCGCTCGGGCTGCTTTGGGTGTCCATACCGCACCCTCTGTCCCAACAGAGTTGCAACACAGGCTGAATGAGCTCATGCTCGTAAAGCCCTCCGCAATGTGTCCAGCACACAGTAAGCATTAGCTAAGTGCTTTTACAGAATACTGGTTTGCGCCTTCATTTCCCGTTGCCGTCCTCCCAGAGGGTGAGTGCTGCACGTCCTCCGTGTGCGTCGCTGACAGCTGCGTTCTCTAACCCTGGCTGTGCGTCACAACCACCTGGAGAGCTTATGCAATGTGCAGGGTGACATCATGGCGTGTGCGTTTTACTCCAGGCTTGAGGCGGTCCTGACGATCAGCCCGGGCTGAAGACCACCGTCTCCCACTCTGATATCCCACAGTGTCTGCCTCATGCAAAGAAGGTGCTAGTGAAATGCTGACATCCGCTGTAGCGGCGGTGGGGTCTCCCCGCTGGAAGGGACCCTGGAGAGCACATCACCCACCCTTCCTTGGCAGCTGGGGACACAGAAGCCCTCCCACTCGTGACACGGTGGCCTGCCACAAACTTTGATTTTCAACATTCTGGCTTATCAGCAAGAGAGGAAATCAAGAGGGCAGAATGCTAAACCCGATCTGCCCATGGGCCCCCCAAAGGGCAGGTACCAGCCTGCCTGCCTTCCTCCCTGGGGTGCAAAGGATGAGCCCACTCCAGGCCTCAGGTCTGCTTGCTCGGGCTCCTCACGGTGTGCCCCACAATGGGGTAACCCAGGTCGGGCAGTGTGGGTCTGACACTCCTCTGCCACTTGCTGGCCATGTGTCCTCTGAGCATCAGGTTCCCCCTGAGTAAAGCAAAGCCCTGCTTCTCTATAGGATGACTGCAAGGATTAAATGAGATCACATCCTTACCATTCCCGGCACATAACAGGGGCTCGAAGACCCTAGCTTCCTCTCCTGCTGCTAAGCAGGCACAGCCTAGTAAGAATCTTTCTGCTAAACACAGAGGCAGGGGACAATGGGTGAGATATGGACACCCAAAGCAGCCCAAGCGGGTGTGTGAACAGGTCCAGACAAGCTGGGAGAGAACAGGAGGTGTGGGACGTCTAGCATTACAGAGAGTCTGGGCTGTGGTCCTGGAGCAGGACAGAGGTGAAAATCCCTCCTATAACAGAGGTGCGGAAGGAGCAGAACTGGAGAAGAGGAGGATACACAGTCATAAACACTCCTTTTCCTGTCAGGTGCACAGATTCTAGAATGTTCTTTTAGGGGAGCAGCACAACTTCTTCTGTTGGCCTTCTGGGGATGAGGGGTTTCTTTTCATAAGGCAAACCTCCAAAACATACTGCTAGGAAGCACAAGGAGAAAACATGTCTCCCCACAAAACACCTGCTCCCCCTGGACTTCCCCTCACCAACCTCTCAGACCCCCGGGCTCCGTGCCTCCTGGCGCCACACACACAGCCAGCTGCCAGGTGCTGCGGTCACTCCCCCACTCTCTGTCCTCCCAACACCCAGTGCCACGGACCATGGGCCAGTCCCTCATCATGACTCCCGGGGTCACCACAAGACAGCTTTGTGACCCATCTGTCCACCAAAGGTTGCCTGCACGCTGTCATACCTAACAGGTATTCCACTTGGAGTAAAAACCATGCCATTAAAGAAGCAAGAAGAGCATGGGGCGCCTGGGTGGCGCAGTTGGTTGAGCAACAGCCTTCGGCTCAGGTCATGATCCTGGAGTCACGGGATCGAGTCCCGCATCGGGCTCCCTGCTGGGCAGGGAGTCTGCTTCTCCCTCTGACCCTCCCCCCTCTCATGCTCTCTGTCTCTCATTCTCTCTGTCTCAAATAAATAAAATCTTTAAAAAAAAAAAAAAAAAAGAAGCAAGAAGAGCAAAGAAGGGTGACATTTCCAGGAAGTTACATTTCTACTCTCATAAGATAACCCAACTGAGGTAAAAAATAACACTGGAAATAGGGGGGTCATCTGACTGGAATAGTAAATGTACCTACAGTAAAAGCATGAAAACAGGGAAAGTTGCCCAGTGACTGTTTGAAAGATGGGCTCTGCTTAAGGACTATCCAGACCAGTTGGTAAAAATAAACTGAGATTCACTCATCTTTTTAATTCCAGTGACAAGACTGGATTTCCACCATCTTGCTTCAAACATGGATTCAATGTATTCAGTATATTTTTAGATGTAAGATAAAAACTTACTCCCTAAACGAAAGCCGACCCCCTACCTTGCATGCACCAAGCACGTGGCCATCAAGGCTGAACGCAAACACTGGCTTTCACAGAACTGGAATCCCTCCACAGACACAAATTATGTGAATGACAAAAATGGATCTACCTCATTAATAATATACAGTTTCAAAAACTGCTTTTCTAACTCATTAAAAACTTTTTTTAAAAAAAGATTTTATTTATTCATTTGAGAGAGACAGAGCACAAGCAGGGGGAGCGGCAGAGGCAGAGGGAAAAGCAGACTCCCCGCTGAGCAGGGGGGCCCGACGCGGGGCTCGATCCCAGGACCCTGGGATCATGACCTGAGCCGAAGGCAGATGCTTAACAGACGAGCCACCCAGGCACCCCTCATTAAAAACTTTTCTGAGGGGGCACCTGGGTGGCTCAGTTGGTTAAGCGTCTGCCTTCGGCTCAGGTCATGATCTCAGGGTCCTGGGATCGAGCCCTACATCAGGCTCCCTATTCAGTGGGGAGTCTGCTTCTCCCTCTCCCTCTCCCCCCTGCTCCTGCTCTCACTCACATTCTCTCTCTCAAAAACAAAACAAACAAAAAAAACCCCAACTTTTCTGAGGATGACATTTCAAAAGCTCATGTCTTACTTCCAAAACAAATAGAGCCTTGAGAAAAAATATTAGAGAAGAAATCCAATGCAAGGAGTTTTAAAAGGGAAGGTCTGCAGATGACAGGGACGCAGTGTACCACTGAGACTCCTGCTTACCACATATCCTCTGCCCATGGAAGGAGGGCGCTGGTTCTCAACTGAGAGAATGTCCCAGCAGTCATCCGTTTTGCAAAAGCCTTCGCTGAGAGAACAGGCCTCTTGACTAATCCAAAAGTGCATCAGGACCCCTCCCTGGAACAGCCTCCTACAAAACCACAAGTGTGCACAAATATGGACAAGAAACAAAGCAGGATCACCAAAGGACAAGTGCAATGCACCACAACGCTCGTGTCTTCAGCTTTTTTGGAGGTAAGGAAAAGACAGAATGTTCTTCAGATACAAGGTGGAACCTTACAGTTCGCACCATGGGGCTGTAACTCCCCAGGCAGCTATGAAGCCTGCCTCTTATTCAGCAAGGACTGGAGGCTGCCCTTCCCTCCTCCTCAAAACCAGGACCTACAAAATTACCTGCTTGGTTGGAATTGCACTAAAAGGTACATCCCACTTACCGGAGATGAGGAAAAGCAAATGGACTTTGTAATTTCATTATTTCTACCCATTAGCGTCAGCATCCAGAACAACCCGAACCTGCCAGACAATGATCACCGCTGCTGTCTTCTGGCTAGTTGTGCTCCATCCATTACCAAATTAATTTAAAAGTATCCAGAAAGTCCTACTCTGTTTCATGCAGGATCAACACCTAGAGACAGCCAGGCTGTTCCTCGTCAGGAGGTTCACTCTCAGGCCACAAAATCTGCTCTATCTTTAGATTCATGAACGAATTTGTTTGATCAACAGCTTAGCCTTGTGACCTCAATCTGAAGTGGAAGATGTAGTCACTCATTTCAAGGTTCCTAAAATTTAACTAAAAAGAATAAAATAAGACCCCACAAGAGCCTCTCCCTACATGAACAAGCAAGTGGCAAAATGAGTGATGCCGTATGAGCAGTTACTGTCCAGCACCCAGAAGCAGGCCATGGAGCCTCGGGCCGGGGTAGGGGGGCAGGGGGGAGAAGACACCAGGCAGGAAATGGGAGACTGGATGAGAGAGGCTCCTGGAGGAGCAGAATCAGAGGCAGGGCCTCAGGGTCCTCCTCTGGGAAGTGAGGGACACAAAGCAGGTGGGCTACAGAGTGCTTTCAAGGGAGGATGGCTTAGTGCAATCAAGAGCAAGCACCGGCCTTAAAGAGATGCGGCTTTGAAGCCCAACCCCACTCCTCACGAGCTGAGACCTCTTGGGCTAGTCACTGTACTTCTCCAAGCCTTAGTTCCCTCACCTGTAAATGGGGAAGACAGCAGTGTCTGCTTGCAAGAGCCCTATATGGGCCTACATGAAAATGTATATAAGAAGCTCGCTCCCGGGGCACCTGGGTGACGTCCAACTCTTGGTTTTGGCTCAGGTTATGACCTCAGGGTCGTGAGATCGGGCCCCGCATTGCGCTCCATGCTAAGCACGGAGTGTGCCTCAGTTTCTCTCTCCTTCTCTCTCTCTCCTTCTCCCTCTGCCCCTCCATCCCCCTGTGTGCGCACTCTCTAATAAATAAATAAATCTTTAAAAAAAAAAAAAAAGCTCATCCTCATTCCACTTAGAAGAATACGCCAACTTGCCTAACTTCTGCCCATCACCTCCATCTGATACCATCTAGAGAGCAACTCGTTTTTTTTTCTCCTTCCCCGACAGGCCCAGTGGATAAGCTTAGGTCTACCATGATAGGACTGTTCTGTGATTTTTTTTTTTTTTTAAAGATTTTATTCATTTATTTGAGAGAGAAAGAATGAGAGGCAGAGAGCATGAGAGGTAGGAGGGTCAGAGGGAGAAGCAGACCCCCCCCCGCCGAGCAGGGAGCCCGATGCGGGACTCGATCCCGGGACTCCAGGATCACGACCTGAGTCGAAGGCAGTCGTTTAACCAAGTGAGCCACTCAGGCGCCCTGTTCTGTGATTTTTACTGTAGGATGGTATTCTCTGTGTGCTAGGACACGTGTTGTATTTCATTTCAAAAACTTGTTACAGGACATCATGCTTTTTCCATCTAATCTCACCCTGGAAGTTGAAAGCATCCACTTGAGGAGGGAAAAAGCGCCGGGAGGAAAGTAGGCCAACTGGTCTCCAGCAGAGGCAGACGGTGTGGCCAGTACAGCAACGTGATACGTACCAGCACGTCCACATAGAGGATCCAACAATGCTCCCGGGGACTAATGCAGAGGGACTTGAGGTCGATGCTGCTCTTGTTGTTAAATATCCGGTAGAGGGTATTAGCAATCTCCGTGCCAAGGTCATCACCTCCTCGACCTTCAAATTCAGGGGTAGCATTGGCCGAACTACATGGAGAGGCAACAGAAAAGCTGAGTGAGTCTTTTCAAAAACAAAGAGCAAAGGCACAGGGCTTTGTTCCAGTCGCCCTGTGGAATGCTGAAAGGACCAGCGCTCTAAGGAAAGTTGCTGCAGTGGGAAAGACGGCACCCGCCCCGTTTCCAGCCTCCAGACGCGGGCGCAGGGAGCCAGACTGGCACCGCGCCCTGTTCGTCAGTGTGCGTGATGGGCGTCCCCCTGGCCCCCCACTTCTAACAGAAGCCATCTTTATCCAAAGAGAAACAAAAGAACAGTAGTAAAATGAACCTTGGCCAGTAATACTTCACTCTCTGGAGAGTGGAAAACGCCCCTCGGGCAGGCCCAGGAAGCCAGGAGGCCTGGGGAATCAAGCAGTCTGGTCAGAGGGGTCACATTACGGACACCATCCCGAGTTTCCACAGCCTTAGAATGCACCATGAAACCCTCAAAGCAGAAACCACAATGTAAGCACAGTGAGTGACCTTCCTGGAACGATTTAGAAGATCTGTATGACAGTTATGTCACAAAATTTAGCTTATCACTGAACAGCAGGAAAGGGAAAGGAGAGAGAAGGACTGGCGGCTGATTAAATATTAGATTATCCCTTTTACTTTGCTATTTTTTCAAGAGAAAAACTTTTCCACTTTGGCCTCTTGAAACTTATGCCCAATTACCTCAATGAAGAAGGAACAGGCATCAACATTTGCTGCCCTAAGCATTACTCAAAAGTATTTAATGGGAAATTTCTGAGGGTTTCGGCTTAATAAAAACAAACCCTCAAAACATCTGTGAGATAAGTAAACATTCCAGTAATCATTTTACTGTAATGAACAGAGTCCAGAAAGGTAAGACACCAGCTGTTTCACAATGCTCTCTACAAAATCACATACTGAAGCTTTCTAGTCCACGCTCTCATCCATCTAGAAGGTACCAGCTCCATGCTAGGCACTGGAGGGACAGCCTGAGCAAGGCGGATGAAGGCCCCAAGTCGGCAATTTCACAAAGTCAGGGGCAACTTCATGATAGGGAGCAAACAGCAGGAGTGGGGCCGAGGAAGATGTCGACCAGTGCCGGGGGTCACAGGCGACCTCACACTGGAATGTGGGCAGAAGTCGGTCAGGCTGCAGACAGGCATGGGGATTCCAGGCAAAGCAAAACCCATGTGAAGGCTCAAGGCTGTGCCCACCCCATCCGTGTAATGCTAAAAGAAATCTCACTGGATACATTTAAATATCCCTTTTGTCTAGTCCATTCTAACATAGGCATAAGAATGACCCCTAAAATAATGAGAGTGTATCACTATACAGTAACTTTGCTTCCCTAATTATAGTCTTCCCTGACCACTATGAGCCAGCAGAGCCCCAATTTAAAATCCCCAAGAGAAACTTCATCACTGCCACGGCAGCCTCGCTGTTCCCTCACTGCTTCGGCTGGACTCAGGCATTGAGCCATGAAAAGCAGCTCATTTATGGTGAAATAATCAAGTTCCCAAGGACCAACTTAATAATTCTGCACAGCCAGCAAAACAAAAACTGTTTCTAATTTACACACTAAGCAATCAATATTAAGATCCATCTTTTAAGTGTTTAAAAACATATCTATATAGATCTGAGTGGACAAATCCAGCTGGAGGTGCTTATGCTTAAAATGCGTACTTTTTCCTGACTACAGTGGGCCACAACCTCCCGGGGGGGATGAATTAATTACTCAGGGACTGATGCATGTACTCTTTTACAGCCCTAAGGGATGGCTTACAGACCTTCCCAGGTCTAACTGGCTAAATTAATCTACCCACAAAACCACACCCCACTGGGGTTTTTTTGGACACTGAACTAATTTAAAGTGGGAATTTTTTCTATTCTAAAAGCTTTTTTTTTCTTTAAACACATTATTCTTTATAGCTGGTAGCCAGGCAGAGAGGAAGGTTTAAAGACTCATGAGACCACGGAAAACTCCTGCATCTGGATGGTGCCCGGGTCCTGGACCGACTCCGGGGAGGAGGCTGGAAAAATGGAAGGAAATTGTTGGGGCAGGGGTTGGGGGTGGGGGCATAATACTTCTGGTAATGCGAGAAAAGCCAGAGACCCTCTATTCTAACAAAGGATGAAGAGTAGGGTTGGGGTAGAGAACGGAGGGTCCCTTTCTTATCACTAGGGGTGCTCCTAGGACAAGGACACTTCTTAGGAGACATGGGACAGAGATGCAGACCCAGAAAAGGGCCTCAGAGACCATGTCAGAGGACAAGGATGCCCACAGGGGTTGGCCAGGTAACTCCGTGCTCTGAACAAAGAGCTACCAGTGATCCACAGGCAGTGATGGAGACTCTGACAGACTCTCTAGCCTGTCTAAAAGCATTTTAACTCACCTTTGAAAACAAACTCCGCTAGTGAAACAAAAATCTCACAGGTGGGCTCTGACCTAACGGAGAACCCGGAGAGACTTCAGATGGTCTGACTCTCTCATTTTACAAGGAGGAAAACTTGAATGTTCTTTTGGAACCACTGGAAACCACTCTTAGCACTTCAGATGTACCAGCTCACTCGATTCTCGCAACAACTCTATGAGCTAGGCACTATTTCCGACCCCATTTTCGAGGAAACGGAGCTGAGTCCCAGAAAGGTTATATAATTTGTCCAAGCTCACACAACTAGTGACCTGGGAGCTAGATTCCAACCCAGGTAGCCTGGCCCTTACCTGCTAGGCGGCACTGGATTCCCATTGAATGTGTAATTTGCCATGCCTGGCTTGTAGCCTAATGTGAGTCAAAGTAATGAATGGATGCTCTGGTCTTGGGACTTATTACTAGATCACAAATACTGGAGTCAAGGAACGCAGACCAAAGGAGTCTAAGATAAAAAGCTTCTCTATTAAGTGCAAAGTTTAAAAGAGAGCGCGCACAGGCTGTTAATCCTGGCCCCCTGCTCAGAGGTATCACAATACATTCTTTCAGTAGCGGAGTATACACTTGGGGCTTGGGGCATAAAACCAAGTGCTTTCTGTGTCTACGGTTGCCAAAACCAATTCAGATCCTTCATAAAGTATGACCCAGCCCCTCTTCCCCGGCTGTGGGGAAACTGCTTACCAAGCCAATAAACTAATAAGAATCCTGGGAATGCTGCCCCTCCCAGTTCTCCACCCCTCCTGACTCATCACCTCTACTCTGCTCCTCCTGCTTGGGCCATCTCTGGTTTAACTGGGGTAGGGTGAGATCAAGGCCATGTCTACCTGGGATAGGACTTCAGACACTAGGCCCATTGTTTCCCCTGTGATCAATCTAGCCTGCAAATCTATGGAGTCTTACAGCCAGGTCAGGCCAGGACCACGGCAGACAAAAGTGATTTAGTGGGTCTGTGGGGGCAGGGCTAACTCTGGGCCTTACCCGTCTAGTGGTCAGTCATCCAGCCCTGCAGCAGGCCCCAATTCCTTCCATTCCCCTGTGTGTACAGGTGCTCATTCCTGACCCTGCAGAAGCTTCCCCATGAGTGGGAACGGGGAGGACAGGAGCACATTTAGAGCTTTTCATCGTATGTCCTTGAATGAAGTTTCTGGGAGAGTTATCAGCTCTGGAGACTTCCAGAGTACAGCTAGCTTCGACTGACTTCTGCAAGTTGCCTGTCTGCTTTGTCCCCTGCCACCCCAGCCCATCAGGCACTAACAGTGACCCCCTCCAAGCAGCACTAAGCAGTGAGAAACAGAGATCAAGTGGCTCCAATCACCAATTCAGGGCTTAAAGCTTCTGGTTCAACATTAGAGATAAATACGAGTGATCACAATGAAAAGTAGTTAAGGACGCCTGGGTGGCTCAGTTGGTTAAGCGACTGCCTTCGGCTCAGGTCATGATCCTGGAGTCCCGGGATCGAGTCCCACATCGGGCTCCCTGCTCTGCGGGGAGTCTGCTTCTCCCTCTGACCCTCCCCCATCTCATGCTCTATCTCATTCTCTCTCTCAAATAAATAAATAAAATCTTAAAAAAAAAAAAAAAAGAAAAGAAAAGTAGTTAAGATCCCACAGGGAAGTGGCAAGTGTTGGGCACACTGAAATGTCTATGAATGAAAAATGTTCTCCTCAACTTCCCCCAGTGAAGAACCGAAGCCTCTCAGAGAGGCTAAACCAAGCTTCCTGATACCCCCCATCAACATGGTGTCAGAGCTACGAAGAGACTAGATGGACCGCCACCTAGTGGTAGCCCAGAGTCATATACCAGCTCCCTAAATTCTTACCCTCCTCTGGGTTCAGATGGAAATCATCTTTTCCCAAAGTTTCAAAGTTCTGATTTAAAACAGCCTGTTCTCAAGTTACAACTAACACACCAAAGACATGAGACAGGAGTCAGGAGGTCCGAGTCTGCTCCCAGTTTTAGTGAGTGTGCTGCCAGGCATCTCCGGGGCAGTGCTCAGGAATCCCAAGTCTTTACTACTCCACGGAGATGGGGTCGGGGTCAGGGTCAGTGCAGTTGGGTACCCGCCCCAAAGCGCAGCATTCCCAAGACACAGGGAAAATTATGGGGCTGGGAGGCAATGTCTACCTCAGGTGCCACTATCATTCCAAACAGACAAAACTGAAGTAGAGGGGCGCCTGGGTGGCTCAGTTAAGCGGCTGCCTTCAGCTCAGGTCATGATCCCAGAGTCCTGGGATCGAGCCCCACATCGGGCTCCTTCCTCAGCGGGGAGCCTGCCTCTTCCTCTCCCTCTGCCTGCCACTCCCCCTGCTTGTGCTCTCCCTCCCTCTCTCTCTATCAAATAAATAAATAAAATCTTTAAAAAAAAAAAAAACCAAACCTGAAGGAGAATGAGGTAGCAGAAAAGCAGTTTTCTGAGACCTCTCCAATCACTGGGAATTTACATAATTAAACCCTGCAAGTTGCTGATAAGTCAAGTCAAGCTGGGCTCAGACTGACAGCCCTACCCCACCCCACCCCAAGCTGGGTAACACCTCTCCTTCAGCCTGTGGATGGATGAGGGTCTCGTGCTCTTCAGCAGAGGGGTCGGTGGGGAGCACGCTTTGTGCTGGGCACAGCCACAGATGTCCAGAAGCCATTCCTATTTGCTGGATGGGAATAAAGGGGTTTGTTTATGCAATTACGAGTTGCTCTTTGAAGACCCAGATGAGGTTCTGATAAAGGTGGCAGTCGCAGGTGCTTGGTAAATCAACATCTCCCTTGTTTGTAGGAACACAAGGTTTTGTGACTCTCTCACGGTGATTCTACCTGCTAGACTGATCACATTAACTGAACCACGTGAAGACACTAAAGTGTGCCACCTTATGATTATCCATCTTGAAAGAGAGTCAGGAGAACTCCCTGGGAACTGGAGCTTCTGGGCCTGTTGAGGGTCTCCTGACACTTACAAAGGGAGAAAGGAGAGGAGCAGGCAGCCCTGCTTGGTCAGGGGGAAGAGGTTACTCCTAGAAGCTGGATCTTGGGAAGAGGCAGGTCCAAGCGTCCTCCCACCCTGGAGCCACCCTCCCTCTACAGCTGGGACAAGAAAGGGACAAGAGCAGCAGGTTAACCTGGAGTCATGTTCAGACACAGAGCCACAGTGAAATGTGTCCCCTATGCCAAGCATCTGAGGGCAACACCTTCCCTTTGGTGTGGCTGGGTTGACTGTGGTCTGCCGAAGATGAAGGAGGTAGAAGATGACACAGAGGTGAAAAAGAAAAGCAAATTACAGTGCTTCACACATGGTGCCTGCTCCTCAGGGACTGTTTATTGCATTGAATTAGGCAGATCAAGGCCAGGAGAGGTATTTTTCTTCCTCCAAGAGCAAAGGGATAAGTTGGAAGCTTGAACAAGGTCACCGAGACTTAAAGGATGGGCCAGTCCCACTGGATGACTCAGGCTGGTGAGAGCAGCCAGGTCCAACCAGGAGAGGAGACTGCCTGGGGGTATGGGGGGTCTCATAGGGCAGGTGCAAGAATGGGCTGGAAGGAAAACTGGCCAGAAAGCTGAATGCAGATATGTTCTCAGAACTCTGAGCACAATATCCCTGGAAAGCTGGCTTTTGCGGGCTGCATGGAGTAGAACAAGCAAAGACCCAGACCGGGAGAAGTCTGAGCTGGCACGACCAGCTCTATGACCCTGGGGAATTCACTTACCCTCCCTCAACACTGGTCATCTCTCTCACAGCGATGTTGTGAGGACCAGCTTCTTTTTATTTTATTTTATTTATTTATTTGTGGGGGGAGAGGGAGAATCTTAAGCAGGCTCCACACCCACTGTGGAGCCCAACGCATCACTTGATCCCACGACCCTGAGATCCTGACTTGAGCTGAAATCAAGTGTAGACGCTCAACCAACTGAGCCACCCAGGCGCCCCCAGGACCAACCTTTGAGTTTGAAAGAAGACCAGAAGACTCTAACTCGCCTTATAAACTGTGGGTTAGCATCTATGCCGAAAAGGTGCACATAGCAGGCCCAAGGCTGCTATCTTTGGAAGGGACTGCTTGCAAGGTGGGCCCTCATTTGCCATCCGGGAACTTGACAATAAGTGTTCCCAGTCAACAGTGAATTATGGTCCGCTGTGCCTAGACTCTTTGTGCAAATAATATGATAAGGTGACTATGTGCTGTCCTTCTTGGAGTCTGGGATTTTGGTACGTGTTAAGCAGAGGGTGCCCATGTGACCAGCCCCGATAAAAATCTTGGGTGCCGAGTCTTTAATAAGCTTTCTTGGGCAGAATCATCACACACATGTTGCAGCATTTCCGTTGCTATAATAAATCTCAGCCAAGAGTACAACTATATGCTGAGTCCTGTGGGTCCTTCCAGAAAATCTCCAAATATGGGGGTGGTCTTGGGGACTCTAATACAGAATCGATATTATATACCTGCACCTAGCATAAGCTAATAGAGATCCTTACCACCTCAAGAAAGCCTGCTGTCACCACCTAATTAGAAGTGAAGTTATAGACAGAAGATGGGACCGGGCGAGCAACCCAGTAAAGAGCCCCGAGCCCAAGAAAGGGGAGGCAATGGCAGGGGGCGGGGGGGAACACTTCCTGAAAGCCTGCTGGGAGCCAATCATTGTGGTGGTGCTCACTCTGTCGTCCTCATTTCCTTTCTTCATCATCGCAACAGTATCATTATCGCTATTTTTTAGATAAAGAAATTCAGGCACAGAGAAACTGAGTAACCAGCCTGAGGTCACAGAGCTGGCCAGAGAAGGCTAGCTGGCTGCAGAAAGTGCCGAGTCCCGGCTCTTCCCAACACCCACGCTGCCTGCCTCGCTGCCACTCCCTCCATCAGGCTGTTTGGCCGGCCCATGTCCTTTCTCTGCCAAGCAAGTCATGAAAAGTTTTCTGCAAAACTAGAGCAGGAGAGGGGCGCCTGGGTGGCTCAGTCGTTAAGCATCTGCCTGGGGCTCAGGTCATGATCCCGGGGTCCTAGGATCGAGCCCCACATCGGGCTCCCTGCTCAGCAGGAAGCCTGCTTCTCCCTCTCCCACTCCCCCTGTTTGTGTTCCTGCTCTCACTGTCTCTCTCTGTCAGATAAATAAATAAAATCTTTAAAAAAAGAAAACAAACAACTAGAGCAGGAAGAGAAACAGGGCATTTTAGACCAAATGACCCTTATTATCTATGTTTGATATTTTTCAAAGCATTGCAAAACCCACCATTTCATTTGACTCTCAGAACCATCATGTGCCAGGCTGCCTGGCAATGCCCTCCTTTCTCTGACAGGGACAACGAGGCCCAGCACCGACCGGGTGACTAGGACAAGGGCAGGACTCAAGCCAAGGCCTTCTTCCACATATCCCAGTGCCAGGCACCTAGGAGGAACACAGGAAATACCTGCTGCCTGCAGGAATGATGACTGAATACAAAATAAAAGTGGGCTCAACAGAAAACCAGAGGTCTAGTCTCTGAATCTTCTTTTATTATTTTATTTTTTTTAAGATTTTATCTATTTATTTGACAGAGCGAGACACGGCGAAAGAAGGAACACAAGCAGGGGGAGTGGGAGAGGGAGAAGCAGGCCTCCCGCTAAGCAGAGAGCCCAACGTGGGTCTCGATCCCAGGACCCTGGGACCCATGACCTAAGCCGGAGGCAGACGCTTAACGGCTGAGCCACCCAGGCGCCCCTTCTGAATCTTCTTTTAAATTGTTTTTCTTTAGGGCGCCTGGGTGGCTCAGTTGGCTAAGTGTTGACTTAGCCAACTGAGTTGATTGATTGACTGTTGATTTCGGCTCAGGTCACGCTCAGCGGGGAGTCTGCTTGAGAATTCTCTCTCTCTCCCTCTCCCTTTGCCCCTCCTGCCCACCTCGCACACACACGTGCTCTCTCTCTCAAATAAATAAATACATCTTTTAAAAAATATAAATCATTTGTCCTTAAAAACATGCATAGGGATGCCTGGGTGGCTTAGGCGTCCGACTCTTGGTCTCAGCTCAGGTCTTGATCTCAGGGTCATGAGTTCCAACACCACACTGAGCACCACACCCAGCATAGAGCCTACTTAAAAAAAAAAAGAATGTGGTACACCTGGGTGGCTTGGTCAGTTGAGCGTCCGCCTTTGGCTCAGGTCATGATCCCAGGGTCCTGGGATCGAGTCCCTCGTTGGGCTCCTTGCTCAGCAGGGAGCCTGCTTCTCCCTCTGCCTCCAGCTCCCTCTGCTTGTGCTCTGTCTCTCTCTGTCTCTCTCTAATAAATAAATAAAATCTTTCCAAAAAATGCATAGTACTGACCAGTCAACGAAGAACTCCAAGTAACCTTCATTTGGTTTCTCCAGCTTCGGTGTCCCCATTTCTGCTTTCACTCCCACCAAGATGTCTGTGTGACCCTGAGGACATACGCAAGAAGGGTCCTCACTCAGGGCAGATAGCCAGATACCCAACCACCAACCTCCTCTCCCAAACTATGACCCCGGGGTACTCTTTTAGGAGCCCTGCAAAGGAACTTGGGAAGTGGCCCTTTGAAAAGATAAGGGGTCCTTCAGATCTAGACAGATGCCCTCCCAGACTCTGGCTTGGGTCTTGGATTCCTTGGAAAGATATGCACTCCCAAAGCCCAGAGGGGCCTGCGGCTGGCTCCCTAGGGCCTGCCCGTCCTCCCCCTGGGCATGGACTGTGGTCGCAGTACTCACCAGCTTGACCCTGGCAGACCCACTGGTGTTAGACACCACGTCGGTTTCCACTTCGACATATCGGTAGTCCTCACAGCCACGGCCATCCACACGGAGGTCTTCCTAAGGGCAACAACCACAACTCTAATACAACCATCACCAAACTGCCAACAGACTTCTAAACTCGTTCACGCCATTTCCCCCAGGGAACTAGGCAGTCCAGCATCCCTGCTCTCTTAGTGAATCACCCAGAATTCTATCCTCGTAGTGAGGAACAGTATTACTGTTTTACATGTGAGGGAATGAAGACTCAGAGAAGTAAAGCGATGTATCCCAGGTCCCACGGCTGGTGAGAGCAAAGCTGGGTTTTCACCCAGGCCTGACCAAGAGCGAAGTCCATACTACATCCCACTACCCCAAACAGGCACACGAACAGACAAAATCTGAACGAGAGACAAAATAAGCTGCCTCTTCCCAAATCGGCAATTCCCAAATTGCGCCAGGAAGTATGTGTTGTCAGAGCTACAACTGTCTCAGCTGTAGCCCCCCTGTCCCCCCAAACTCAACAAAATCCACTCTGTGGACAGCCAAAGACACCCAGCTCTTCTCTTCTAAACCAGGCATTCTCGAGAATAGGGACAGCATGCTTCGGCCCAACGGCCACCTGCCTCTGCAAAACGTTTTACTTTACTGGAACACAGCCACGCCTGCTCCTTGAGGCAGTCTGTGGCTTTCAAGCTACAATGGCAGAGTTGAGTGGTTGTGATGGAGATCTCCTAACCTGCGAGGCCCAAATCTTCACTGTCCAGCCCTTTACAGGAAAAGTTTGCCGACCCTTGCTGCAGAAGATGGATTTCAGAATGGTCTACGTACTGCCTACCCGTTATCCCCGTGTATTTACTTCTTCTGTTATTTACTTCTATCAATATAACTCATGGATTATCTGTTTTATGCTGCGGCTGTAATCCAATACTGTCATTACTTATGCTGTTGCTCAAAGTGTTCCAGATTTGGCCACTGGGGGTTCCTTTGGGTTGGTTCCTGCATTCTTTCAACATGCCCGTGATCTTTTTTGAGCACATCTTTACTTCTGACAAGACAAGATGTTCCAGCCTCTGGTATTTCTCCCTGCCCCAGCCCTGGGATCAGCCCTTTCTCCGAGGAGTCCTGGTTCCTTTCACTGAAGAACAGTGCTTTAAAAACCAGGATCTGGGGCGCCTGGGTGGCTCAGTTGGTTAAGCGACTGCCTTCGGCTCAGGTCATGATCCTGGAATCCCGGGATCGAGTCCCGCATCGGGCTCCCTGCTCGGCGGGGAGTCTGCTTCTCCCTCTGACCCTCCCCCCTCTCATGTGCTCTCTCTCATTCTCTCTCTCTCAAATAAATAAATAAAATCTTTAAAAAATAAATAAAAAAAATAAAAACCAGGATCTGGTTGCTAAGTAAGTTCATTGCTACTGGGGTATCATTGCTTCCAGAACTTCTTCGCAGACAGAGCTAGATAACATATATGTTCGCCAACCCACACAGCTGTATTTATTTCTGAGTCTATCTACATAACTATTAAAAGGCCATGTGTTCACACTGATAGTTGGTTCTAACCTTCCTCCTTCCTCCTGTTTTATTTGTAACTTCTTTCTCAGAAAGTGAGAAACCTGGCTCTCATTATCCACAATGTATTTATGTATTTGTTAAATCTTGAGAAACAAATTTACTAATGGAGGATAGTATTTGTGTGGAGTTCTTTTCCTCTTTAGCCTTACAGTGCCCAGCCAGAATCCTGTTTTCCAGGTGTCTTCCTCACCCTTCAGTGTGGCTCTGCTATTCCCCTGCACCTGTGAGGTTCATCTGTAACTGTTTGTGCTCCAACGTGGGTCCCTCGCATCCTGGCTACTTTAAATTACTCATTAATTTTTGGGGTATGTGGACTATCACCATGACTCTAGGAGTCAAAGTTATCAGAAAAGCTGTGCTCAGGGAAAGGCCGCTCTCCCCTCAGCCCTATTTTCAAGCCGTCTTCTTTCTAGCTCTTTCCCACCCACCCCAGGCAATCTGTTTAATTGCTGGTTCATCGTCCCTGTATCACCTTTGCACAAATGAGCAGATACATGAATATTTTTTTAAATCCCTTTCTTTCGTATATGAAGAGTAACACACTATAGATACTGTTTTATACTTTGCTTCTCTCCTTTTTTTTTTAAACACTTAACAATACACATGCAGGCAATCACTACACATCAGCTCATGGAGATCTTCCTCATTCTTTGTAAACATCTTTTTTTTTTGAAAGCACTCTTCTTTCAGAAAAAGACTCATTAGCTTCATCAGATTCTCAAAGGGGTTAATGCTCCTCAAAATATTTAAAAACACTGTCCTAAAATACGTAAATGTCACAAATTTACTTGTAAACTGCCTGGCTAACTACATATATGACTGACATTTTTATTCGGAGACACTGAAATCCAGTAAAGCACTGCATTCACCCAGCTCTGACCTTCTACCCCGTTTCTACTCTCTCTGTATCCCACTCCTGTTAATGCAGAGAAAATAAACATCACAAGTCCATTTGAAGTCCCTTTGCGGTTCATCCACTCCCCAGGCCATCCCGTCCCTGGAGGTAGGCCCATCTTGAGTCTGGGGAGACCTGTACTTGAAAAGCAACAGAATTTCAAGTCTAGGAGATGAACCTCCAGGGAGGAACTCCATAAAGTGATCCCTCTTCACTGGAGGATCCCAAAACTATGTAACTGTCTCTTGACAACCCCACCCACAGAACAGGAAAGGCTTCCTAGGTCGATCTCTGATGCCCCCTCCCCCAGGTGTGCCCTGTGAGGAAAGTGAAAACAGGGCCCAGAAACATAATTTATGAAGACTCCTGCCTGAGTTGCAGGTCGGGTGCAAGTGTGAGCAATCACCAGGAGTATTAGTCATGGGCTCCTGGTCTGGTTCTGCCATAACTAGCTGCTTGACCTAGGACGAGACGCTCGAGACTAGTTTCCTCCTTTGTTAAAAGATGGACATTGAATTAGAAGGCCTCAATGGTGTTTCTCTAATTCTACAGATCTATTAATTAAAATAGCCACAATAATTTGCAAAAACTAATAGTAGCTACTCTCTAATGTGCATTTACTATATTTGGGATAACGTGCTAGGAACGCTACACAGTTGACACATTTAACTCTCACAATAACCCTATAAGATAGCTTTTTTTCTTTTTTCTTTTTTTTTTTTTAAGATAGTTTTTTCATTCCATTTTACAAATGAGGAAAGAGGTTGAAAGATGCTAAATGTCTGGCCCAGGTCACATGGCCAATAAGGAGCACCTGAACTCCAAGCCAGGGCTCTTAACCCACAATTCCACATGGACCCCTGCATTCTTTTTTTTTTTTTTTAAAGATTTTATTTATTTATTCATGAGAGACAGAGAGAGAGAGAGAGGCAGAGGGAGAAGCAGGCTCCCAAGGAGCAGGGAGCCCGATGTGGGACTCGATCCCAGGACCCTGAGATCATGACCTGAGCCGAAGGCAGACGCTTAACCATCTGAGCCACCCAGGCGCCCCGGTCCCCTGCATTCTAAAGGGTCTCTTCCCTGGGCAACAGGAGACAGCACAGGCCTCCCTCGAAGGATGAACTGGCTCTACCAGTCGGTCCTAACGATGCAGAAAATAGCTCTGAACGCAGGGAGGCCACAAGGTGACAGGGCTTCCAACTGCGGCTTTAAAATACCACTTCTCTGGAAAGATCTAGTCACTACCCTTTGTAGGACAACCCCCTTGTTCCAGGATGGGGCTGGGAGGGGGTCAGGAAACCAGGCCTTACCAGGTACTGCCTTTCTAGCCTTTAAACCACTCTCTGCTCCCTGGGGAAGGCTCACTGGGAAAGGCTCAGGTGACAAGTAAGAAATAAATAAAAAGCTACAAATTTTCCTTTCCAAGGATGCACAGAGTATATATATTTTTTTCATAGAAAAAAAAGCACCCAAGAGAATAGGAGAAAAATCAAAAAAACAAACAAATTAGTCCACAAATCACTGCACTCGGGACTTTTTTTTTTTTTTTTAATCCAGCTTTCCTCATAAAAGGCTTAAATATTACCCAAACCTGCTTGGTCTGGCTCAGAGCCAGATACCCTACCAAAATGTTTATTCACCAGTAGTACTCAGAAGAAAGGAATTAATTCATGTGTGACCATTTAAACAGGGGCTGCCCTGCAGTGAAAGCTCCATTCAAAAACCCAACAGAGATGTCAACAAGTGCTGGGCACCACCATGGAGTGGAGGACAGGGCTGTCCTTCTCGATAGAGGGGACTGGGACGGCTCCCAGTGACTTTCCAGTTGTTTCTCACCCAATCACAACACCCCTGCTAGTTGGGTGTGGTGTGGTAGAGTCACCTCCAACCCATATAGGTATTTTTTAAAGATTTATTTATTTACTTGAGAGTGAGAGATAAAGAGCGTGCTCGGGAAAGGGGCAGAGGAAGAGGGAGAGAGAATCCCAAGCAGACTCCCCACTGAGCGCAGAGCCCGATGTTAGGCTCCATCCCACAACCCCAAGATCACAACCTGAGCCAAAACCAAGAGCTGGATGCTCAACTGATGGAGTCACCCAGCCGCCCCCGACCTATATTTAAATCTCTCCTGTCACATACCAGCTTTGCGACCTTGCGCAAGTTAGCTCCTCAACAGCTTGGAGACCGTCTCTCTGTCTGGGAAGCAGGAATCACCCCAACCTTACAGAATTATAGGAGAATCCAAAAGCCAGGAATCATTTAGGGGACCCTCAGCACAGTGTAGCACACAGAAGTGCCCCCTGCACAGTTCCCTTCTCCTGCTTCTAGGGCGGGTATCAGCTCATCGAATCCTTAAACAACAGCCCTAGAGGGAGCTTATGGATGAGGTAGGTCACTGAGGCACCTGTTTCACTGCCTGTGGCAGAGTGGAAGGACAAGTGACTCCACCCAGAGCCACTTTCCTCAGACCCAAGTAACCCAGTCCTATCACTCACTAAAGGAAGCTGACAGGTCAGCTCTACTAACCTAACACGCTTGGGAGAATTTAGACTGTGGCCTTGGCAGTGAGGTTAACACCCCATTACCTTGCTCTGACCTGTCCAACACCTCGGACCT